GGGGGGGCTGTATGGTCTCGAGGCATGGTGTCCACTTCGAGTGATAGAGGTACAGAGTTCAATCCCTGTGGACTTGGATATCTAGTAGTTCCCCCTGGTCCTGGTGAGTGATATCGGACATTGCCGCTCAAGTTAAAAAAAAAAATCTCTTGGCAGTTGAAAATCGAAAAAGAATAGCCAAACGGCGCTGCCTTGGCAAAATATCTACCCAAAGTATTTAATGATCATCGCCGGTGCTACAGAACCTGTGCACTGTGCTGAGCTTCTTCGGACAGACTTGAGTTAGAAGAAGAACAGAGCAGTTATGGGTTACTACCTGTGTGTCATGATGTTGATCCGTTTTTCAAACCTCAAATCTCAGAAAAAATACTGACATTTAACAGACCTGAACATAAAGGAAGACTGGCTAATAAACAGCATCTTGTCTCAGGAGATGGAATATTTCGGCTCTATCAGACGCCACGTCGGATTAGAAAGAATTGTGACAGAAGGCGTGGTGCTAGGCAAAAGAGATGAGCACAGGATATAGGGGGTGCACGAAGCAGGAGATCTGGCCAGATAGTATCTTTTAGGGAAACCATGGTGAGAGCCATGTTTTGCAAAGGACCTCCAGTACAACCCCGATGATGGGTGCTTTATTTGGTGCTTTATTAATATCTTACCCACAACATGGAAATCAACAGGTCACGTGGCAGTCAAAAATTTCAGGGTGTGGTAGACAGGCTGCATGCAGTCGTGGGACCTAGGGTCCATGCAGTCTTGGGACCTAGGCTGCAATCTCTCGTGGGACGTTCGTGGGTTGGGGTTAGGGCCAGTACTAGATGTTTTGGGGTTGTTAAAGGCACCAGAAAGCCCGAAAACCCAGCCTTACCACCCTTTAAAATGTTAGACTGTCCTGTAACGTCATCTGGGGTCGGATATTAATAAACAACCATTTATTTATATCTCCATAATCTAGTTATTTCTGTTTTAATTAGCCGAGTTCATCTGCCTGCGCAATCTTTTTGATCTCACCTGCTGTCTTATTTCTCTGTCCTAAGTTTATTGTCGATCTCAATAGTCTGGTTTATCTGTCTGCAGTCTGATTTTTCTGGCTGCATAGTTTGATTTATCAGTCTCCGCAGTCTGATTTATGTCTCTATAGTCTGCTTCTATTTTATCTGTCTCCATAGTTGTTAATGTTAACCGATGTTTAAACATCGTTGCAAACGGGTAACTTCAAAGCTGCTCCATACATGTGGCAGTATAAATCATACAAAATTATCTTCACTTTCCAATTTGCAAGTTTTTTTTTTTTTTTTTTTAACTTTCCAGTCAAAGAAAATCTTGAAGCTTGCACATACAAAAATAATATGCATAATGCAGCTGGCAGATTTGCCAATATTAACGGTCCCAGACCAGAAATGCAGCTCACAGTTGACGCAAACGGTCCATTTAGAAAGCAGCCACAGCACCCGCAAAAGGTACGCCGTTCTGCGTAATCGGCCGTCCGCCATTTTAATGTAGTCTACAGCACGCCGCGGGCACAACAGGGAAAAACACATTCCATAAAAGATCTACAGCACATCATCAGGCACTCAGCATAAAAGCCGGGCGACAAAACCTTCCGAGGTTAAAAAAAAAAGTAAGCCTCCAATGAGGTTCGAACTGTCGACGCCTGGTTTACAAGACCAGCCACTGAGCCATTGAGGCAGGCAAAACGGTTCGATTCAATAATGTGGCCTGTCTCTTTCTAATTTAGGCTCATGATTTGTAAATTCTATTCAAACTGCTCTCTCTCTCTCTCTCTCTCTCTCTCTATATATATATATATATATATATATATATATATATATATATATATATATATATATATATATATATATATATATATATATCACCATCTGTGTGTGTGTGTGTGCGCGCGCGCGCCAGACTCTGTAGATGTAGTGTCTTCTTCGCGTTCACCGACTGTAAAATCCAGAGGAAAATACAGGTTGATCGTCCACTTATAGACTTAAGTCTTGTTCCAGAACTTGGGTTTTGTGTGCACATCTGTTTTACATATATGACATATCTATAGGTAGTCTCCTTGCCTCCCAGCGCCAGATGCACTATAAGGTCCTACAATTGAGTAATGAGAATGATTTTATTATGTCTAAGACAAAAATTCCATCTATGAAGCAAAGCATGGAATCCAAAAAGGCAACCTTCATCTATGATTTGACATTCTTTCCATCGCCGCTCTATAAGCAGACAATCAACAAGCCGCGATTTTGTTGACCTAGTCAGAGGTGCATGGTCAGATAATCAAGATGGAGGAAAAATCTAACATTAAATTCTGCTCAAAACTAAAAAAGCACTATTGAGACAGTTCAATCAATGCGATAAGTTTATGGAGATCTGGTGCGCAGATTTTCAGGTGGCATTAGCGATTCAAAATGGAAATGATAACTAATATAACTAGACATGTGTGCCCAATTTCTGTTCGTAACGAGGAAATCTTTGCAAAAGTCAAAGAACGGATACAAGAAGATCATTATTTGACTGTCTGGATGATGGAGATGAGTTTGATGCCAATAGAGAGGATAATATTTTAGTGGAAGATCTGGGCAAGACAAAAAGTTTCTTGCCGGTTTGTACCATATTCGTTGTCTGATGACGAAAAACATCAGCATGCTGAGTCGGAAGAAGACATCATCAAACGTGTCACAGAAAAAAAAAAATTTCCTCAAATTTGATCGTTGCAGTTAATGAAACATGGATTTTCCGCCATGATCCCACAACTAAACAATAAAGTGCTCAATGAAAGTCACCAGCTTCCCCAAAACAATCCGTCTTTAAAATTCGAAATTGAAGACAATGTTGGTGTGCTTCTACGACAGCAAACAAGTTATTCACAAAGAATTTATTCTAGAAGGACAGACTGTCACAACCACAGTTTACTTAATTATTTTTAAAAAGTGGCGCTTTCCTAATATCTTACCACAAACAGGGAAAACCACAGGTCCCGGGGCAGTCTAATATTTCAGGCGGTGGTAGATAGGCTGCAGGCAGTCGTGGGACCCAGGCTCCACTCTCTCATGGGACGTAGGTGGGTTGGGGTTAGGGCCAGTACTAGATGTTTTGGGGTCGTTAAAAGCATCAGAAAGCCGAGAAACCTAGTCTTACTACCTCTAGAATGGTGGACTGTCCTGTGCCGTCAGGTGGGGTAGGATATTACGAAAGAACCTAAAAATTTTGTTGTAAAAGATTCTCTGAGTCCAACGTGAGTATTCAATGCCTAGCAGTTTTTTGTTTTCCTTCTTCATGACAATTGCGCCGCTTCACCGGGCGGTAGCTGTACAGCAATTTTAGGCCCCAAAAGAAGTCTTTGTTCTCAACCATCCACCCTATTCTCCAGATTTGTCTCCCTGTGAGTATTTTCTATTTCCAAAATTATACTTATCATTAAACGGAAGCTTCCTTGACGATATTGATGACATTCAAAGGACCGTATCATCGACTTTAAAGGTTATAACAAAAGAAAAACTGCAGAGGTTGTTCTAGTGTTTCATAAATAATGCCCCTTACCGTATCAATGCACAAGGAGCTTACTTTGAATAAAATACAGGTTATATCTTTGAACGTTTGAATTTTTTAATTTTCATGGAATTATTCTTATTACCTAATTGTGGGACCTTGTATGATCTCGTTTTCTGCGTCATTAATGTTTATCTGTTTCTGTTCTAGTCGGCTCTATATGTTACAACTAAAGTTTATTTTATTTCTTCACGGCCACATTTAATTTATACTGTCACTGGTGGAAAGTCGTATTTATCATGATTATCATTTTCTTCTCTCCCCCCTTTTTCTCCTCTTCCTCCGGCGCCTTTTCTCCTTCCTCGTCTTCTTCTTCTTTTTCTTCTTCTCCTATCAGTTTTACATATCTTACTTGCATGCAAAATATTGTTTCCCGGCTCCTCTGGTGATTGCACGCAGACTTCAAAGGAAAACTGCTAATTAGTCACTTTTACCACACGTTTGTTAGGGGCAGTGGGGATTTTCTTTTTACTTTAAAATGGTGCCACGGTACCCTGGGAAATCGAACACAAACCATTACCTTGTTAGACCTGTACACTGCCCACTACATTAAAAAAAATCAAAGAAAAGAAAGAAAGAAATTAAAAGAAAAATCTAAGAAAAGAAATAGTACTTAGAGCAAGCTGGCCCTCATGTCACTAAAATCAGCGACCCTCTTGTTTCTAAAACAAACATCTTTCTGAAAATACATATAACTACTCAATGGACATACAACCTGCACTGGAGACAAAGCTTGCTATTTAAATACAATCTTTGATCTATTTGTTAAAATTATCAGTCCTACAGCCCAGATAATTTTAACATAAAACTCGGAGACAAAGAACGATGCATTTACTGCAACCAAGCAAATATATTTCCGGCTAACACACACAGGGCACAATTTAGTACCTTTGTGTTGATAGTTGACAATGTTTAAAAGAAATAACAAGAACGCTGACATGGAGTATCGTGTTCGATAGTTCGGTATCACAGTGTCTTAAGTCATGTATAGGTTTGTAAGCTCTTGAAATCAAGTTGGAGATCACCATTTTGTCTTTGACTGAGATCAAGAGTTAGTCTCATTCAGCATACAGCCATTTTAACTTTGGACTGAGACAACGAATTCTAGTTTTTGATTCACAATGAAGATGTTTGGTATTTGATTCATAAAGGAGAATTGTAAGTCTTTGATTCACAATGGAGTGTTTCATTCGTGCAGGTAAAGTCGCGGCCATGTATAAATATGTGGAAACACACAGCAAAGAATTGGCCTCTGAAAGTGGAACACAACATTCGTAGGATCCAACAATTAACATAATCCGACATTTGCGATGGATATAACAGGTTTTGTTTTATTTAACATACATTTTGTGTTGATACTTCTCGGAGTCTGGCGAATTAAAAACATCTCAGCCAGTAAGGAAACACTGTTCTCAAAACGAACAAAATGCAATCTACAGATGCTGGTTAACCTGACGTGTGCTCAGCCGCAGGGAACGAGGTTTAAATCTTTGATAGAGTGTGCTTCGGGTTGTGCCAGTGATATTGGTTGTGTCGGGGTAAGTACACAAGAAAGAAGCTGCTTCTACCATTACAAGTGTTCTCATAATATCGAATGTGGTCCCATGGATGGCGAGTTTGAGGTCTATGTCAAGAATGACACTGTTGTCCAGACACTTCCACAATGCCAAAATAATGGTACGTGGAACCTGACTGGTAGTGCTTGCACCTGCAACAGTGGATGGGTGGGTCAGTTCTGCGAGAGGTATGGCTCATCGTGTAAAGAGCTCGCCCAGTACGGCTACCCGCAAGGATGGCCGGATGGGCTACAATGGGCAACCATACAGCTGACAGCCAACGCTAAACCAGTGAAAGTTCTGTGTGAGCTTCGCGAGAAGTATTTCAACACATACATTCTTCGCAACGACGGTTGGAAAAACCTGAAAGAAACCCAGCGAGGAGCGTACCTGAATGGCTTCTACGTTTCCAATTACTGTTTCTGGATGGGCCTTAGCAACATGAAGGCCTTCAATGACGCCGGCTACACGAGTCTTAAACTTGACACTGGTTTCAGTGCCCCTCCATCAAACGAATTCCATCTGTTTCAAATGACATACAATAATTTCACAATGCAAGGATATGACGATGATTTCAAGTTCACATTTAAGGATATTGTTAGAAGAAATGATGGCCCTCATGCAGCTAACTACTCGTATGGAGACTGCTTAACACCCCTCCAAGGAGCTCCATTCATATTCCCAAACGGAAGCGATAGCGCAGAAGACTGTGTCATGACAGCTGGAGTGGGCTGGTGGTACAACACGGCCTGCAACATTGCGTGTAACCCACTTGGGTACAAGAAAGTGCAAAATCCTGACAGGCCACAAGCGGAATACATCGTAATGGATGGAATGGACTGCGAGAACACTGCTTCCTGCAGTGTGGCTATGTATTTTGTTATGTATTAAAAGGCAGTAAATGAACAAGGTTAATTACCCATTACTATGTATCATATTTCAAGTTTACACAGATGTTCACTAAATAATTTGTTAGTCTCCCGTTTTGGAAATTTTCACTACTTTCCTTTTTTTTTCTCTGTCAAATTTTCCTTTGATTTGAACATGATAATATTCAAACTGTACTTGCGGTTTGTTTGCACAAAGCTACGTTCCAGTCTGACTTCCGGTCAAATGTGGCAGATTGCCAGCCAGCATACTGCTGGCGTTAGGGCACAAGTTGTTTCATGCCAGGATTTGCTGATGCGAACTCTTTATTTCTGGACCGGTAGTCGAAGGGTTAGATCGCCCAGCTTCTGAGCTGAGTGCTTTGTGTGGATTTATTAACTGTGGATTTCATGAGGAGATTATTTAGGTTGTGTCCTCCGAGGCTTTCTGTTGTGAACGGCACAATAATTAATGGTGGCCCATTATCTTCGAAATCAGGTAGTCAGTCAGGTAGTCTTAGTTTCAGCTTCATAGCAAACGGGTTACCCCATCTTTGCTCCGCTCCTGTGCCAACGAAAAACACACAGAATGTTTATCACAGTATTAGAATTGCAGTTCATCATTGATGGTAGCAGAAGTCGCCAACAGATCAGCAGTTGCCCACGCGTTCAATTTTAATCACATACAGGCACCACAACACTGCAAGACAGGCATCGCACCATTTTCTGAATCTACAATTCACACCAACACGTTGGTCACAGTCGAAAAAACATTCCAAATGCAATTCGCAGCTCACAGGGCCACGCCATGCATTCAACTCAGAAGCTTGGCGACGAAACTATATCCAGTCTACAAATGGAGCAAAAATGCATCGGCCACCACCTGGCAGAAGCAAAAAATGTGCCTCTGTTTCGAACAGTACCGCTGCCTAACGTCCATTTTCACCGGAAGTCCTTCGAAATGCGTGCATTTGTGCAGGTTTGTGTGTACAATGCCAGATTTGACTGTTTTGCATCAACTTTGCGTGTGCAAACTTAAAGATTTTGCTGGGACAATGTTTTTTTCTTTAAAGTCCTAGAAGTGTCGCAGATAATGTCAGTGTGCCATGTTTGGGGATTTAGTTTGCCTCCGATATTTTATTACTTGTTCCCATGCTCTCGTATTGTAAATAAACAGAGGGGGGAACCAGTTGAGGCCGTTAAATTATCTCGTATTGTAAGTACATAGGATTGAAGAAAATCGAGCTCCGGCTAAGGTATCATGGAAAGTAGATGTTTATTGTTCGGCCAGCTCCTAAGTCAGCTTCAGACATCCTAGACAGGAAGCGGTTATACCTAGAGCTGGATTAACCATTAGACACACTAAGCGCGTGCTTAGGGCATTATAAAGGGAGGGGCACCACCGAAATTGTCAAAAGCCTTGGCGCTGAGCATTTATTTTGTCGGTTGAAGTATATTTAAACAATATCATCGGCTCTACAATGCAGCATGGTGGACTAGTTGCTTGATCTCAGCTA